TGAAAGTATGAATCTGAAATTTTAAATCTGAAAATATCAGTCTGAAAGTGTAAATCTGAAAGTTTTGACATCTGAAAATGTCAATGTGAAAGTCAGCCTGAAATTGTAAATCAGAGAATGTCAGCGTGAAAATGTGAATCAAAAACCATCAATGTGAAAATGTAAATCAGAGAACGTCGGTCTGAAATTGTTGAATGACAAAATGTCAGTCTGAAAATGTAAATTGGAAAATGTCAATCTGAAATTGTAAATCTGAAAACGTAAATGTGAAAGTGTCGATCAGAAAATGTCAATGTGAAAATGTAAATGGGAAAATGTCAATCTGAAAACATAAATCAGAAGATGTCAGTCTCAAAGTGCAAATCTGAAAGTGTCAATCAGAAATGTGAGTCTGAAAGTGTAAATCTGAGAGTGTCAATCAGAAATGTGAGTCTGAAAGTGTCAATCAGAAATGTCAGTGGGAAAGTGTAAATCTGAGAGTGTCAATCAGAAATATCAGTGTGAAAGTGTAAATCTGAAATTGTCAATCAGAAATGTCAGTGTGAAAATGTAAATTGGAAAATGTCAATCTGAAAACATAAATCAGAAGATGTCAGTCTCAAAGTGCAAATCTGAAATTGTCAATCAGAAATGTCAGTGTGAAAGTGTAAATCTGAGAGTGCCAATCAGAAATGTGAGTCTGAAAGTGTCAATCAGAAATGTGAGTGTCAAAGTGTCAATCTGAGAGTGTCAATCAGAAATGTCAGTGTGAAAGTGTCAGTCTGAGAGTGCCAATCAGAAATGTCAGTCTGAGAGTGTCAATCAGAAATGTCAGTGTGAAAGTGTAAATCTGAAAGTGTCAATCGGAAATGTGAGTGTCAAAGTGTCAATCTGAGTGTGTCAATCAGNGGCCGCACGCCCAGGCTGGGTTTGCTCACCAGGTTCTGCACTGACTTCACCATGTTCTTCAGGTCCTCGGGGTAGGGCGTGGGGTAACGCTTGAGGTTGATCTCCACCTGAGCAGCCAGGGAAGGAGGAGGCAGGGTTAGGAAGGGAGGCAGGAATGCAGGATGGAAGCAGAGCGCAAAGGAAAGCCTGGTTGTGGTTCTGGGCTGAGGGCGCTTCCCTCGAGGTTTGGTTGATCTGTCTGGGGAGTTGGAGGAGGTCAGGACTGAAATTTGCTCATTCCCTCTTTGGCAGCATCGAATGCAATCCCAGTGCCATAAAATAGGGGTAGGAATGGTTCCCTGCAAGCCCATCTCTGCCCCTGGGAGGGTGTTGGTAGCTCTGCCCTTTGCTGACACATCCATCCCACCCTCCCAAACAGCCCTGCTGTAAATGCAGAATTAATTCAGCCACGCTCCTGTACTCAATTAACGTGAATTATGGATGGCAGCTGAGAGCAGAGCTGCTCCTCTGGGAGCCATTGCCTCCTGGAGATGGATGATGCTCACACACAGCCGGGTGTCTGGGGCTCTTTGTGGCACGGGAGCACAGACCCAGAGCTTGCCAGGGAGTGCCCAAGGCCTGGCTGAGCTCTGGCTGACTGTCAGACACACAGATTTCCTGGAAAACCCCACCAGTCTGAGTTTCCCAGCTTTCCCAGAGTGTCTCAGGGTGACGAGGCTGGGAAACTTCAAATTCCTGCAGGTGATAAAGGATCTGGAGTTTAACATTGTTTAGGTTCCACTGTTTTATTGTTTAATAAACAGTTTTTCTCCACTTTTCTCTAAAAAGGTATTTTCTCCCGAACTGGTTGGAGGAGAGGCCAATTGAATCTGCTTTTCTAGAGGAACCTCTTCAGGGGTTCACTCCCAAATTTGCCCTAAACCAGGACAAGCACACAGCAGCTTCCACCTGGTAGTGTAGGTGAGCTGGTTTGAATAGCTCCTGCCAGAGCTGCAGGATTTAAATTCCCAACGAGCAGGAAAACCACAGTTTTGGGTTTAGCTGGAAATGGTCTGTCCATAGGAATATTTCAGAGGCAAAAGCATGATTGATTTGGTAAATAAAACTGTGTCAAGTGCTGGCATCCAGATCCGAACCAGGAGAGAATAAACGTCAGGGGGTAGAAGAGAAAATGTTAAAATCTGTGAGTGGAATGTCATTTTTGATAAAGAATTCCAACAGAAAAAGGACAGATCAGGTCTGGAAAGCTGCACTAAAAGCTCTGCTTCAATGCTGGCTGAATGCAATGGTGTTCAGGGGTGGCCCAAGGAGGCACTTGGTGTCTCCCAGAGCTCAGGCCATGGTTGAGGGCAAGGCAAAATATTGGAAGAAAACATTAAGAATTTCCACCAAGTTTTCAATGAGGTATTAAAATGCTGTTGACAACAGAACTGTTAATTTGAGAATAAAATCCAATTTAAATCTCCTTAGATGATTTTATCTCTGACTCTACATTTTACCCTGGGTGCTCTACCACAGTTAGAAATCTGCAGGGTTGAAGTGTGGGATAATTCCTTGATATTATTCAAGAAAGAGAGATTTCCATGGCAGGTAAAGGCTGACAGCTTTGAAAATATCCTCCTGACAATGCAGCTGATTGAGGGATTGATGGAGAGCTCTGCAGTGACTTTAATTTCACAAAACTGGGGGAGGAAATTCATGCTTTGAACTTTATTTTTCACAGATTTATGCCCTTTCCACTGCACCTTCCATGAGGCTGCAAAGCCCTTGTTGACTTTTGCTTGGAGAGGAATATGGGATCCCCTGTGGGATTCAAATATTCCTGAAAAAGCAGTGGTTGACAGTAATTCTGTAAAAATCAATAGAATAGAATAGAATAGAATAGAATAGAATAGAATAGAATAGAATAGAATAGAATAGAATATGTAACATATAATCTGTAAATAAAGTTGGGCAGTAATTCTGTCTCAATTCCCTTTGGGGACAGAGCAGGAATCTGCTATTCAAACCCAAACCCAGCTCAGTTCAGGACCTGCAAATTGAACCCTGCCCATTCCCAATAAGTGAACCCCAGAATAAATCCAGCAGCACTCACCTTGACTTTCCCTGGATTCTCCTCCTCTTCCTTCTTGTCCTCGAACTCAAAGGCCACAGTCATTCTCTGCTGCCTCTGCTCCTCCCACAGAGTGGGGTTGAAGCTGTCACTGTCTGACTGGAAATCTGCAGGGAAAGGGAGAGGGAGCTGGGAATGAGCCAAATGGATTTTCCTGCTTGGTCACCTGGGTCATTGCTTAGAAATTCGAGGGGGAACTGAGAAGCCACTCCAGGGTTGTTAATAAAAATGGGATCAGAGAGAGGTGGGAAGCAGTCCTGGAGCAGAGGGGCAGCGTGAAAATGGGAATTTAGTGGAGCACAGCCCCAATCCAGCCCAGTTTGGGAGCCCTGAGCCCCCACCCCATGGAGATGGGCATTCCCAGTTTGTGCGTGGAGCCAGCAATTCCTGGGGTGTGCACACCCAGAGCTGGGCTCCTGCAAAACCTCTCTGAAAACAAAAGGGG